AGTAACTATGACAGACAAAATAAATAAACAAAGCGGGTGAAACCAGAGAAAGTGCACACGTGTGCGAGTCACTGTCTCTCTTTTGTCTGTGCGAGTGGGAGGTCGTGCGTGCGTGTGCAGATGCGTGCTTATGTTTTACCCGTGCGTGTGTGCGTACGCGCTCCGTATCAACTAAAACACAAAACAAACACACGAAGAACTCTGTAAAGTCTACTAGATCCGTAGCTCAGTTGGCAGAGCGATAACCACGTTAAGGAAACAGACGCTGGTTCAAGTCCTGTCGGGCCAATGGAATTTTTCTTTATTTTTTTCGATCTTTGTATAAATAATAATAACAAACTAGTGGAGTATTTTTACACAGAATAGATAAATATCATAGTAAAAATATCATGATATTCATAAAAAGTGAAATGTTACATATTTTAAGTAAAAAGTGTTAGACTTTCCACAGGAAAGAATGATAAAGCGAATAAAGAATTGAATAAAGATACAAGAGACCAGAATATGCAAATTATTTAGCGTCCACAGAATTTCTTAATTGAGCGGAGACTGGACGGGAAAATTAATTTGTCCTGCAACTTCACGCTACTTATAATTGAAAGTCACTTTTCTTCGCTAATTAAAACTAAGATTTTTGCTTTTTTTTTCCTTACTACGATCGCCACTTGGAGTACGGTCGTACGCCGATCGAAAGATTATCGACGTCGGCGTTTGATGGTTTTGCGACGGTTGGTAGCGGCATGATCGGCGTGGCATATATTTTAACCGAATTCACCCTGTATGACGCCATAAAACGGAGGAGGTTCTCAATGTCGTCGACTGTATTTTTTTTTGTGTGTGTCTCTTACGCGATTTCTCCGGAATTCGTGAACCGATTTTGATGATTCTTTTTTGTTGGAAAGAGTTGGTCCTCACTGTTGGTCCCATTCAAATTTGATGAAAATATTCCACCTCTAAGGGTGGCAAACTAGGGAATTAATCCGGTTTCGCGCACTTTCCGGTAACCGATTCCAATAAAATTTGGCAAGTAGATAGATGTAATTCCACGAACATTTCAGGTCGGTTTTTTAATACTAACTCAACATAAATCAACCTCTATATACATATTAAAAAATTTGTTCACTTTAACTAATATATAAAATAGTTTGACAGTTCAACAACATTAGCATTCATGCGCCATCTAGTGGAAGAAATAATCAGCTTTTAATAATAATAATAACACCAATAATGTGCCAGACCCACACCAATTGCCTGGTCTCAAACTAGATAATTCCTTATATTATGAGTACCAGAGTAACGGAATTCACTCTGGGCCACTTCCCAGACACATAGATCCCACAGAACACACAGATTATTATGTACGTATACGAACGACTTTGATTTTAATAATACCGAACTATTGTCTTTTTTATGATATCAAGCGACAAGACGAATAAGTCGTGCACCTGGTGGTAAGCGACATGCCTATCCATAACAGTTGCACTGCCATTCAGAGCTTTAAATCGCAAAGTCAAAGTCCCAAGTGGCTTTAATTTCACCAGCACCCTTACCCTTCTAAACCGGAACGCAGTAACGTGAGTTGCTTGGTATCAGAAATAGGTAAGGTGCCAGTATTTCCCTGGACGAACTCTTTCACATGGAGCTCTACTGCTAGTAAATCTAGTGCCCACAGTGCTAGGCCACAGAGGACGGAAAATATAACAGAGATTTTCCTCCTTGGAAAACATCCGTGCCAAGCAGTCAAGTGTATAATGGATGGACGACGACGATGGTGATCTTAAATTGGTCCTACAGGTATTCAAACCTAGGATTTCCTCATCAAGCTTCTATAGTGCTAACTTCCATTGATCCAACCGACTCAGATCATTTAGAGAGATATTTTCACCGTTATACAAAAAAAAATTCTATTTCCTTTTTTTTAAAAAAAAATAAGTGCGCATTTCATCTCCATCTTATCTGATGGAAAGTGACGACGAGGTCGAGGATGTAAGATGCACACCTAAATAATGCCTATTCACACTCGCCTTGAAAAGGTCTAAGTTATAACGTTCGGGGAACAAGTCTGCAGGCAGGAAATTCCATTCCCTAGCCGCTCGTCATACAAATGTGGAAGCGAAACGCTTCGTGCGAATCCAAGGAATATCCACAACATAGGGATGAATCCTCGCCCACGTCTAGTCTCCCGATGATGGAAAGGGGAAGGCGGAATCAAATTATACAATTCCATCGCACACTCTCCTTGATATATCCTGTAAAATATCGATAAGCTGGCAACTCTACGGCGGTGTTCAATGCTATGCAGCTTCGCCGCTACCAGTTCCGAGTCACCTATATACCTCTTAGCACGCTTGTCTATTAAATCCAAGGTGGCCAGTTGATATGTAGCAGAGCCATCCCATAAGTGGCAGCAGTACTCTATACACGACCGGTCTCGTGCTTGGTACAGCTGAAGCAACTGTCCCAAGTGAGAAGCAAGTGAGAAGTGACGCCTCACCTTGGAAAGTATGCCAAGCTTCTTGGCTGCATTTTTGGCCATGGATTCAATGTATCTGTCGAAGTTCAGATTGGAGGACAGGTCCATTCCAAGTAGGTGAAGACGATCGGCTATCGGTATAGATATATCACGAAAAGTCGGAGTCAGGTGATAGGAACTCCGTTTAGTGGAGAAAAGACACGCCTGCGTTTTGGTAGCATTAAATTTGACAAGATTGGCATCGCCCCAATCCGATTTAAGTGTCAAATTCAAACGACTAACCATGGACTCTCGACAAGACTGGATTTCTTCTCCACTGACCCTTGCATTGGTCTAGTACCTGTCCACAACTGTGCTGTCATCAGCATACCCAAAGGTACCTGGAATCAACATATCGTTTATATGCAGCAGAAAGAGGGTTGCGGACAGTACAGAAACTTGAGGAACTCTGGCTGAGAACCCTGAGGATCTATCGCCCGTAGTTCGGAAGAGTAGCCTTCTAAAACCACTCGAATCGAACGTGCACTCAAGAAATCCGAAATCCAATTGCAAAGGTCAGTGGGAAGCCCATAAGAGGGAAGCGTGCTTAACAGGCTTGCGTGCCAGACCCTGTCAAAGGCTTTAGAAATGTCTAAGGAAACTGCAATGGCTTCGCCATCCTCTTCTATAGCCTCGCTCCATAAGTGAGACGCATACACAAGAAGATCCCCAGTAGATCACCCTCTTCGGAATCCGTACTGGTGATCACTGAAGAGATCATTGACTTCAAGGTTCGACAGGAGACGGTTGTCAAGTACACGTTCCATAGTTTTGCAGAGTATGGAAGTGACTGAGATAGGTCTGTAGTTGACAGGGTCAGCTCTGCTTCCTTTTTTAGACATTGGTTGCACATTTACAAGCCTCCACGACTTGGGAACTACACTAGTCTCGAGCGAGAGGCGATGCAGGCGTGTGACAATAGGAGACAAGTCAGGCGCACAGGTACGCAGGACTATTGCTGGAATTCCATCTAGCCTGCTAGCTTTATGCACGTCTAGACTTCGCAGAGTTCTGAGTACCTCTTTTTAACATATGCGAACTGGCACCATAGTGCACCCAGTCTGAGGTAAAGGTGGTAGGTATCCTGCGGCATCCAGACGCGAACTTTCTGCAAAGAGTGAGGTGAACAAATTCGCCTTCTCTTCCGCAGTATGGGCCAGCGAAAATAAATCTGAAAAAAAAATCTGGTTCGCCAGCCAGATTTATTTACTTCCAAAAAAGTTCCATCTTCTTTTGGGAAAAGGAGACCACAAAAACTGAATTAGATACCATCAATATCAACACCTTCGCATGACCTTTTGAAATGTATATGATTTAGTTTCATCAGAACTATATTTTTGTCAAAAACTTCAGCTTCGAAAATAACTGCAAGGCCGTGACTGTGGAACCTGTAAAGAAGCCGAAACGTTGGTTTGTTTGAGAAAAATACATTAATATTATACGCGATTAATATCTGAAAATAAAATTTATATCCAATCTAACAATATTGCTTTCATCAATTGTAATCAGATTATTAGGAATTAAGCTAATAACTTGGTAAGTAGTTGTATTGTTACTAATTGAGCACATGTTCTCAATCCAATTACTAAAACCGTGCCATATTGTTGGAAAATGAAATAGAAACGAAGTTATACGTTAAAAAGACGAAATACTTTGTTAATTGTTTGATTTCTTTATCAAATAATGTAACAAAGCTATTTTATGCCATGCCAATACCATGCAAATGAAGAAATCGTGTAACGTCAATATGTAAAACACAGAACAGGGAAAATTGTAAAAAAGAAATATTCCCCCGAAATTGAGATCGCTCTTACACTGAATTTTTATTCGACAAAACCGTATAAATATGTAAAAAATACATTCAGTATTATAATAATAATAATAATAATAATAATAATAATATAATATATATATATATACATATATATAATATAATATATAACGCACACACTCAACATAGCCCCGCACTAGGGAAACCCTGTGTCGCGGGTGCCATGGACACACACATAGACAACCACAAATTACACCCATACTCACGAGAGAAATAATTGTAGGCCATACAACTATTTCTCTCGGCCCGGGAATCGAACCTGGGATCTCTGCGTGGCAGTCCGGCATGGTAACCGTTCGGCCACCGAGGCAGTTAATGTATTGTTTGCCTTCCTTGCGAACACTTACCTACATAATGGTATCAGACGGTAGATGGTAGGCTGGGTTTTACGAAGAAAGCCTTCAGAGCATTAAAAAACAAAGCAGGGTCATCCAATGAAGAATTGATACACCCACAATTTCGTCAAAGACAAGAAGTTTGACGAAATGAAAATAAAACGCAAGGTAGAATACGAACCATCTACTCAACGTTTATTCAGCTATGTGGATTTCGGTAATCAGCTGGAAACTGATCGCCACAACGAATGCACAGAGGCTATAGTGTTTTTGATAGTTGCAATAAATGGCAGTTTTAAAATGCCTATTGGTTACTTCCTAGATGATAAAATCATTGGAGCACAGAAAGCGAACCTAATAAATATTGCACTTGAGCTATGCTATGAAAATAAAATTACAATCAAGGCATTGAGTTTTGACGGCTTTCCAGCAAACCTGGCTATGGCCAAGCAACTAGGCTGCGAATTACAACATGATAGGTTGAAGACAAACTTTAAGCATCCTGAGACAGGTGCTAATAATTACATCTATGTAGATCCAGTGCATATGCTCCAAAATTCCAAAATGAAAACAGTAGTACTATAGTACTACTACAGTACAGTACTATGAAGAAAAAGAAAAAGGAATTTTCAATTAGCCAATAAGTTACGCCTTCACACATACACCTTAAAACAAATGTAATGAAAGTTATTGTACTTAAGTAAGTTACGTTAAGTCACTGCCTCCATGGCCGAACGGTTACCATGCCGGACTGCCACACATAGGTCCCAGGTTCGATTCCCGGGCCGGGTGAAATATTTGAATAGCCTACATTTATTTCTCTCGTGAGAATTGGTGTAATTTTTGATTGTCTATGTGTGTGTCCATGACACCTGCGTCACAGGGTTTTCCTAGTGCGGGGCTATGTTGAGTGTGTGCGTTATTATTATTATTATTAGCTAGCCAGGTGTTTAGCCGCAGCTTTGTTACGGCATTAGATTTCTGTGAAAAGGAGTTACAAGTAACAGACTTCAAGGTGTTGGTGCCACGGCCAGAATGATCCAACTCATATACGATTTATTTGACATATTGAATTCCAGAGTTCATGGCTGTGGTTACAAACGTGCTTTGAACTTTAATAATCATGCTACATTTTTTTTTAATGTTTGCTGAACATCGCCGCAAAACTAAAAATACGAAACAAGAGACAACAAGTTAAATTAATAAATTCACCGCGGTTTACTGAAATTCTTGGTTTCTGTTGTTCAAAGATTTAATTTGTGACGAAAATTGTCCCATAAAATACTTACCGATGCATAAAATTTCACAGGACCACATAGAACTTTTTTTGCTAAGGTCTCCTCGTTTATTCGAGACAATTTATAAGACATCCTTGATTCACACCGAATTAGTGCAAACAACGCTGGTAACTGCAAACCGTTAGAAAAAAATCCTATTCTCAACGGTTGATAAACCTGACAACTCATAGCGAAACTGAAGAGGTCATCAATTATAATGATAAAAACCAAGAAGAACTTGATATTGGGATAGAGATTGTTGAGTTTTGACACTTTTCCGAAAATGTAATAGAATACATAGCGCACTGATTACACGCATAAAATGTGTCACTTCCATGCAAGCGTTGGTATCCTTGTCAGAAAATAAGAGAAGCCTAATGTTTTAGACATAAAGGTGGCTTCATATACCCGTCAATTAGTGTGCAAAAAATTTGCCGTCGCTCTGAGCAATTTATTAAAAAATATTACATCGATAATATGAATAAACGAAAATATACAACAATTTTTTGAACAAAACGCTCTAACGCTCAAACGCTCTTGCAGTTTTGTAGGAGAAAAATTATTTCAAGAATATCACTACCACCAATATTACGCTGAAGAGACAAACCGTATAAATGATTTGACTCACAGTTGTTGCAGCGCTCTCCGTGGACGTGAAAGAATACCAAGTTAATAGAAAATATTACTCTATTACTATTTAGAAAATATTACTATTTTCCGTAACTGATCACATGTTCCTCAACAAAGTATTTACTCGTCTAGCCTTTCGGACTCGTGCACACCACTCGACTGACCACCGGCCGATTCCGCCACCCCGTCCCTCCACTCAACCTTAGTTTCTAGTAGGTGGGATGTGGCGGAAACGGCCGCCGATTGGCTGACGAGAAAGTTAAGTAAAAATGAATACTCTTTATATTCAAATAGTTAAAATTATAAATGTGAATAATTGTTTTAACGATCTACAATAAAACTTATTTGGTTGTAAACCTTTCCTTCGAATTAAACTAAACTAAACGCCATCTATTTGTCACCAATATTCTATACAATACAATGCCATCTAGTGGTCACATACGATACTATTTATTATGTGCTAGGAATCAGTTATTACATTAATTTA